GAGCAGTCTTTCGGCAGTACTTGTACGAATATATGAGAATTATATAGCTTAAGTCCTCCCAGTCGTTTTGAAAAACAACGAAAAAACTAGGAAGGACTCGGAACGACTCGGAACACTCAAGCGACTTAATGAGAACCAGGCTTTAATTCTCAAGTTTTTCTGTCGTTTGAGTTTTGGATGGTGTCCTTCATGTTGCCATGTGGCAATGCTGGGAGACGAATGTTTAAGTAGAGAAAGTTCGGCATGAAATATGGACATAAAAATATCATACATAATGTTACACGACACAGTCCTATTCGCATAACTGTAAATCTATCATATGCTAAAAATGAACCTCAATAATATTTTGTCGCCAATGAACGACCTTTTTCATGAATAGAAACAGTGCATTGACAAATTCTCTTTGACCCAAAATAGTTTTGGCCGTAACAAACAAACAAGCATGTTATGACAAACAACCATGCAAGACTTTTTATGTATTCTAACTTCTCTTGGAGTGGCAGTTTACTATAACCAGACCTGACTGTACGTTTACCTGTAGAGACTTACATTCTGAACTTATGTAAGTTGTTCAAGAACACTTGTTAAGGCAGAGTTTGTTGAAGGTAAGAATTGGATGTGCTTAGTGCAATAAATGCCAAATGAATGACAATAACGCCAATCTTCAATACAACTTTTGAATGGTGTCTTGTAAAACAATCAGAGGCGTAACTTGGGGGTGCATATTCATATAATCCGTTGTGCCCTACTGATTTCTTATGAAAGCGAATCGAATTTGAAAAGAAATCAGTAGGATACAACTGAATATATGAATATACACCATTAACGTTCTAGTTACGCCTCTGAAAACAATATGCCAGTTAGGTTTATCAGTTATGACCGAAATCTAAATAAACAAGATTGACAACAGACAAGAATTAACGATGTCTAATTAGAAAGCATTAGCGTAGCCGACTCGACATTTACTCAAACTAATAATTTTGTGTTCGAATGAAGATATGATCTTCGCACTTTGTTGGACAATTTAAGCAATTGTCTCATTAAATTGTCCAACAAAGTGCGAAGATCATATCTTCATTTAATTCAAACACCGCACTTCATACAACAATCTTTCAAATTTTGTGTTCATTAACCGCGAGAAGAATAAACTTCTAAAGAAAAGAATAACAGTAATCCTAAATGTTTATAAAGTGCGAGTAAATGTGCAGGCTGGCTTCGTGGGTGTAAATGTACAGGCTGGCTTTGTCGGAGTAAATGTGCAGGCTGGCTTTGTTTCGACATACATTCATTTTAATTTACATTCATTTGACTATTCTTGTGTTTGACTGCACTTACTTCAACACATTGAGAAACAAATTACTAGCTAAACGACGTTTACGTTTTTACTTTTTCATATGGAATAGATTCTAGGCTAATGCTAATTTTCATTCAACTTCCTTCTGTCATTAAAGCATGTCAGAATGTGGAAAAGTTGTACATATTCTGAAACAGTTTTCAGACAATCAAAAACAATTTTATGGTCTGGAAATCATTAAAGATCCACCTAACGGTGAAGAGCTTGACTACAAATGTCAAGAAGTCGTTTTGAACATTTAAAAGAGATGTTTCATAGATCTTTATAGAGTGAATTTAAGATTTTGCTTTCAAAGAAAATGAAAAAGTTGAAGAGGTGCAACAAATTCAATAGTCTTTGCAAGAAAGTGTAAATTTGAGATTGAAATTATACTGTTCAAATTTTCAGGATCAAATTTTTTTAGAGCAGATGTAATTTTGAAGATATTTAAAATATCTGGCATCGAGCCACCCCAAAGTTATATCAACAAAGTTAGTAAAGGGATTAAGATCGCATGAAGACACTCTTTCAAAATTGAAGTTGCACAACAATATTTTTTTTATTTTTATATGTCATCGCACGTACATTCACACTTATAACATTTGGCTTTTGCTTAGCGGGTTAACTAATGCAGGTGGTGTATACCTGCCAAACTCCCAGCTTGTTTAGAATGAAGGACGGGAAGAGGAACTGAGGAAGTAGTAGTGTTTCATACAGGCGAGTGGCCATAAATGAAAAAAATTTTAGAAGATTTGGTTTGATGCGTTAAGACACTGGTGTAGCCAGCCCACAAATTTGGCCCTGCTATGTTAATTTTTCTTCTTTAACTCAGTGTAAAAACAACCGATTTCTAAAGAAATGAATGATGCTAATGTTCTAAAATTTACATAGCAGGACCAAAACTTGTCGGCTGGCTACGCCACTAGTCTTTCACTAGCTTCATACAGTTGCAAAGTTCAAAACAGGGGGGAATGATGGAGCTTATCCAAAGGGATCTGGTAAAAATTTGCTTATACGATCAAACTGGGAAGGGGTTATAATTTCATGCAGTGTTGCTCACAAATTTTATACAACTTGACTATGACTGAGCTACTACTGACTGAGCTACGACTGACTGAGCTACTGTGACTGAGGATTGGATAAGGGAATTGTTACTAGAGAAAAGGAGCGTAATAAAGTTATGAAAGGAAGATGGAAAAATGGCATTAGTTAACCAGAAAAGTAATAATGAAGAGAAAGATGATAATTAAGAAAGATATAGTAAAAAAATTTATTAGTATTGAATTTTGTAATGAGGTATAGGATGCTGATATGAGATGTTAAGAAAGGACTGATAGGCCTTTGAAGCTTTGTCAACTGGTTATTTATTTTGTATACATGCACTTATGTAAGTGAACCATTTACATAATTTTATAAATTATTCAAATAGTAAATTAAAAGTTAATGACGTTACTTTTTCGGTCTGATATCTCTCTGCGAAAACTTCGCGAAGACTTTGGTAATTAATGGCTCATTAATTATTAAAACAAATAATTCAATTGCTAAAAACAAAGCTACAATTCCACCAGCCAAAAAAACGAATCGGTGCTTTACCGCAAGTAAAATAATCAAAACCATAAGAAAAAGGTTCATACACAGAAACAGTAGCAAAGACTTAGTCAGCCTCTTCTAATTCTCTACAATGCAAATATTCTTTATGTCGAATATTTGAAAAACAACAAATGAAATTAATTTTCTAAAGAAGTAAATACTAACTTTGTTGAAAATTACCTTTGTATGCTTTATATATGGATTAGCTTTGCATTTATATTGATATCAACATTTTTATCGTTTAGTATATCTTCCTTATGTGTTTATTTTCCTGATTTCACACACGTATTTTAAAAGAAAATAAGTGTATATATACATAGGTGGTTTGCATTTACATCATTGTCGCCATATTTGTGGTCAAATACAAAAGAATATTTTATCAATGCTATTGTGGGCACCAGCCGTTGTGGGCGAGCTACATTTTTTTGATAATTTCGTGTTGACTGGTTGCAATCCAAGAATTACTAAGTGTATTTTTGTAGGTATATAAACTTGAATGTAGGCAGCAGTCATACAGAATACCTACGAAACTGGTAGCCGTCATAGCTGTTTTAACGCACTAATTTCATAAATATCAATAAATTATAATACGTCATTTCTTTTAAACTGAGCAGCACATAGAAACAACACTGATGTCGTATCATTGAATTAGAAACATCTCAGACGGTTGATTTATAAAAATTCCTCTCTCAGACTATCGTTTGTCGTAATCATTAAAATATTTTTTATCTGCTGTTGATGCAATAAGGGACTTGAAATTGTCACGTGGACACACAATTTGGTCGTTGACTCATTTTCCCGCCCGCATGCAACACTTATATGAGGCATATAAATCTTTAATTAGTCTAACTTTGTTTATTTAAGAGCTCATGTATCAGGATATAAATATAATAGAGTTACTAAACTTGGGAAAGAATTCATAAAGATAAGACAAATGCCAGATGAATCCGCTTGCTTGCAGAAGACAGACAAAAAGGCCTTTTAGATTTTTTGTTTTGCTAGTACACTACGTTCGTTCGATTTTCGTTATGCGCATATTATGCTAATTAACCGTATTGGAAAGTGTTGTAATGTAAACTTTGAATCAAGGCATTTGGCAGCGCGTAAATAATCGTCGAGCGGACACGTTCTAAATATAAACTAATAAACTTAAATACGTGTCATGATATTTAAGTCGGCTTCTCTCACAGTCAAATATTGACAGCCTCGTGAGTGCTTCAATATGTGGTAGCTAATAAATTATTGAAAGGAAGCCAAGTGAATGAATGATGTCCAATGTAAATAAACAGCTGGTCTGTAGGACTTCGTCTGGGGTAAAAAGTCCACAATGCAGTCTATTGCAAATATTGAAAAGTAAGAATTGGTTATCCAGTGTCAATGAATGTCGTATGGCAATTGGATAAAGGAACATGAGTGATCTAAACTGTCATCAAGATCAGCAGGATATATTTGACATGATTCTTATCGCAGTTTCATATCCGAAATGTTTTAACATCTTATCTTTGTGCATCGTTCCCGAGCAAACAAACAGTGGGAGCCGTACACAAATTGCGCATATGCCCGAACGACAGGTACGACCGAATTCACGAAATCATAAACACGTTTTTGTGTCAACATAACGTGCTCTTCTCAAGATGACAAACAAAAACAAGCTGTCCAGTTGTTTACTTGTACGAGCACGCACAAGTCGTGCGACGGACAATTAAAATAAAATCATCTACAGCCGTGGGAAATATATAAAGCGGGAAATCTTTTATATTAAATATTTCCTAATCTTCTTGACAAACGGCTACTGACCGACATGAAATCTGTCATCCAAGTGAAATCCTGACCCAACACAAGTGTACATTTGCCGCTTTCCCGCGTGTTTTTATATAAGCTTGTGTTTTGTCAGTAGTCTTCTAGTGTTGTAATCATTTGTCTGTATGGTGTCCAATACGAGTGTTTGGTGTTGTTTTTTACTCGAGTCCTACCGTGATTGTCTGACACTTCGGATGTTGAACGAACTGTCGGCAGCCTTTGAATGAAATAGTCTTTCCAATTGTGGTCCCCCTGCAAGGCGGTGCATGCATTCTTCTTAGTAATTTCCTTGCTGGTTTAACATCCACTCTCCGGCTCAGCGCACCCGTTCATGCACTGACAGGGCTGCATACACTTTTATCTGTCAGGGCGAAAAAATGGAATTCGATTGATTGCAAAACAGAAGTGTCTAGTCTGGTAGGCAGGCGAGTTAGTTCTTTGGCGCATATTTTATCACAATACCGACAGCTCATTTCAGCAATGCCACTCGTTCGTCGTTACAACTACTCGAGTGACGTGTTCAGATCCTAATTAAGAGATGTAAAAGGACTAATTATTTCTTAGCGATTGACAATTGGATGAGATCGGATCCGCTTGTCAATTCTGTGAACGTTTTGTAACATATTGCATGTGAACTTGCCGTTTACCACACGACAAGATACGATCTGCTAAGCTTCAAGTGTATAACCTGATAGCAAAATTTGTTTTTCGTTCACTTTCTTTTGTAAGCAATGCAGAACTACTCAGTTGGAAATATAGGTAAAAGAGCTGAGATGATGCATCGCGCCATGAACGCAGTTACACAGTCTTGCCAAATGGGAAACGTTCCATTGAGTCATCCACAAATTCAAAATAGAAGTTCCAGTAGCCGTTCACCACCATTATTGTCGGGAGACTCGGCTATGGAGCTTCCGCAGCAAGTGGAAACAGGTAAATAAAAGCACACTCAAAAAGCCATGTAAAGCAGGTTGAATATGTTTATCAAACAAGGCCTCTAACACCTACCCGGAAATTAGGTCGCTGCACTCTGACCAACTTAAAAACTCGCGCTCTTCATAATTCAATTTGTTTTAATCAGTGAAGTGATTTTATAACGCACGCCACTTCGCGAGCATGGTGCGTTAACGATGCAATAAAGGTAATTCGTATTGAAAATAGGGAAGGAGAAATTAACGGTGAAACGAGAACAGGCGCGAACACCATCAATGGTTCAAGTACACGGCGAAAACCCAAACAATCCAGCTTCTCATTCACCGATCATGGACACGACAGCAGCGCACGAAAACTCACCAAAGCGTAAAAAGAGACGGAATCGAACAACATTTACATCATATCAACTCGAGGAAATGGAAGGTGTATTTCAAAAGACCCATTATCCCGATGTTTATACTAGGGAACAATTGGCACTGAGGACAGATTTAACAGAAGCTCGCGTACAAGTAAGAAATATGTCTGCGTTTATGTTTTATGTCATTTCTTCATACTAAGGCTCAACGATCATAATTTTACATGTGAAGCGAGAACAACCAATGTAGGATTTATCATATCTAATGAAGGTGTTGCACTTTTATTGATTTATATAAATGTAGAATTTATTGTCCACAACGCGAAATTGGTCTTGTCTACACGTTAACTTTACAAACCATTATTTTCACAAAGATCAAAATGTTTGATTTTTTGTGCGGTAAAATATCTCACTTAGCTTCATATATTAGCTACACGCAAGGGAAAAGATGGTTTTGTCTGGTGTTACCTATATTCAGGTGTTTGTATATTGATCTAAGTACCTACAACAAAAGCATTCATCACAAATTTCGCTTTGTTTTCAGTCACTATTTTTTATTCAGCACGATGTAGGATTTTCTTAAAAATTTTTTGAACATAAATTATCACAAAAGGCGCTCACAAGCCACGTAACTTTATTACAGCAAGATGAATGAGTCAATTTGCGTAAATTAATTGAGTGCTATAGATCATAAATACACAGGGCAATCAATATACATTTTAATTAGAACATTTCAGTAGTTATTATAGAAGCGTAAGTGACGAGTAGCCATAGCTTGAAAAATTTTATGTGAATGCTTTTAACTAAAACTCACAACCATAAGAAATTATTAAATTCTAAGCATAGCTACTTTATAAGCAACAAGAGCTCGATTCTACCTGCATGTGTTATTGTGTAGCTGACTTCTAAAGCTCTGCTTATTTTGCTTATAATTTTATAAAATCGATACAAAGACCCCAACCAAGTCTCATTATTCGTTTGTGGAATACTAACACAGTATGATGATATACCCCTACTTCAGTGTAAGCTATATATAGTGTATCCGCTAAAGGATATTTTTCTGTTAGCTAAATTTTGCTTTGCCTCTTTAATTTGAATTATTAGCTATCTTTGGTCATAAAACACCATTGTAGAAAAAGGTACTTTGACATTTATGGCATTTGCTATCACGGCATGAGAAGTTCCTCTTAACAGAGAACTTAGTGCGCAAAAGAACTTGCAAAGTCCGTAATCCCACAACTATTATGAGGTAGAAACGTTTAAGATGAAGCGTATTTTTTAAGAAATCAAAAAAGCATTTCAATATGCAAGCTAAATTGGGCGCGAGGGAAAATAGTCGCTCAAGAACGGCGATCATCAACAGTTTCATTTTTCTACACATACTGTTTACAAACACATTTAGTAATTGATTGCGCTCGTGATAGTGACTTCGATTATTTCAACAGGTCAACAAACATCAAACACTCTGTGAAAGCACTAACTGGCAATTTCACCTTGTTATTTCATTATCTTCTTATTAAACATTATTAGCACGCTCCAATGAACGAGCTGCATCTTAAACGACGTACCCACAAACTATACAACGGTTTACTTTTCTAAGATTTTTGAAGGACTACTGTTTCAATTACCCTTAAACAAATTTTTTTCATCAACGTAATTTAATTGAATACATTTTTGTAACAAAGCATGAATTACGAAGCAAAGATAATAGCTAGTTTACATAAAATGCTTGTTCATGTTTTTCGATAGCAATTGACGTTTAGCGATTTACAGTAAACTTAAAACGCATATCAGGAGTAATTTTATAGGTTAACTAAATAGCAGAGTCACGCAAATCTATAAAAATTCCAAATACAACATGTGCGTTCCATTGTCCAGACGATTCGGCATTGTCGGCAAAATACAAAGTGTATATACAGCTCAGCCATCCACTATATATGAAAACAGATGTTTCTATTGATTGGAAAATACATCGTTATACTTTTCGGACGTGTTTTCGGTACTGCTGTTATGGCTTGATATCTGGAGTAAAAATCACGAAGATTCATTCGAGGAAATGCTTTGAATGAAATTCATTTGTCCAAAAAACGAATTGCTCGATCTGTATCTAAATGGCCCCGTCACTCATTCTTTAATAGCACGAGTAGTTTCCTGGGGTTAATAAACTGTCTGCTCAATGCATTTCTCCACGATTTTATTAGTTTCCAACTAATATTCAAGCAGAGCGAGTAAATGTGGACAATAGAAGCTTTATGACCAGGACCAGCATGCAAAGACTTGACTTTTATAAATGTGTTTATGAAATCATTGTTCACTTTGTATATTTTGCTACTTTACGAACAGATTTGAAGTAAAAACTGATGATTTTAGAGCTGAGATTGGTATAAGATCTGCCATGACTTATATTACCTAAGTTTTTTACTGCAAATTTTTTAAACACTAATTGAAAGATTTACAAAATTTGTCAATTATTGAATATGGACACGAAACCTTACAATATTGTATGTCTATTCGATATTGATAATTTAGCCACATTTACGATCACAAACTGTGCATGAGTCAACGAAAGAAAAATTAAATTTATCTATGAATGGACACGAACACAAAACCTTAGCTACAATATATTTATATTTACTTGATATTAATAATTTAACTACATATACGATCGCAAACTGTACGCGAACCAACGAAAGCTGACAAATATTACTACACAAGCAAAAACGGGCTCCGATCTTATTCATAATTTTGAATCATTCATGTCAGATTTAAAAGGAAATTTAAGAAATGAACATCTGAATTAAGTGTTTCACCATCTGTCGTCCAGAAGGACATACTCATCGTTAAAAATTTGTTTTTATACGTGAGAAATAAACGTCGACATAGTTAGCTGCAATTTATGCGAAAAGCATGAATTTTTGAGTTTTGTATGATTTTTGTGCTCCTACAAGAGGCCAGAAGCAAAAGCAAAAATGCGATTGCATTCTGTATATATTTTAGGAATCTATAAGGTATTGTGGAATCTATATGGCATCGTGCAAAAACGAAGCAAGATAGTAGTTATAGCGAATAGCAACAAAAATATGAAGTAACATCTTCCTGAATTAGCTATGTATTTTTATTACAACTTGGAAGCATAAATTCAGAGGAACTGTTTGAAATCACAGCTAATTTTCTGACAACTTTTATAGCTGATCAATTCTCGTATATTTTGTTAAGCTCGCGCCTAAGAGTCTAAGATATCATCCTGCCACAGTAAAAAAATAACTGCTTATCAAAGCAATTTCAGGTTTTATTTAACTGTTTCTAATGCGCTATTTTCCCTATCAAGTTTAATGTATCAACTAGCTAATGTAGCAAAAGTAATCGTATCAGTTTTAGCTTGCCTTGCACAATACGAACAACAACACTCGCCATTAGTAAAGCAAGAAAAAGAAATCGCGTAATATGTAAGAGAGAAAGTTACATTTTGTATAGATTTAACTTGTCACAGAAATTCGTGATCTACATTACATTAATTTGATTAAGTCTTTCAGACCACATGAAGAATACGTTTTAGACCTCAATAAAAACCTGTCCGACCTTGACTATTTTCATTATTGCAAGAACTAACATGTAAATATTGACAACAAATAAAGCATCGAAGTAAACTATAAGTACCCAAATGACTACATATGGTTGAATAGACTATTAAAATAGTGCAGGTTGTGTCAAATTTGTTTCGTGCTGTCAAACTGTCTGAAATGACCTTTCTTTGATTTTGCTGGCGAGCTGAATGGGATGTAATTTACTACAAAGATTGCATCATCTTGATTACACAAAAGTCACCGATATCGTTTACCAGCTGATATAAGCAATGAGTCGAAAATAAAACATAGCTTCTTTGATTAGAACATATTTCAATATTTGAAAGGGCTTGAAAGACAAGACATGACAACTTTACAGCATTGATGTTTTGGGTTCATTTCAAATCTTTCATATTTGCTCAAAAATTGAAATGACATTGAATTTGAAATATTTAGAAAAACACTGTTATACAACTCGATTTTACTGCTGTTACTAGGTTGCATTTTTAGTCGTGTCACATAATTTGTATGTAAATTCATTTATGTATATATTTAGACCAACAAAATATGAAAGACGACTCATTTTAGTAGAAACATTTATGTATATATTTAGACGACAGCAACATAGAGCTTCTTTAAGTTCATGTGTCATTTAAGTAAATCACCAACCATCAATGTGTAAGTTTACCAAACAACTTCTAAACAGGTAGATCAATTTCTAACTCAAAAGCTAAATTATACATTCAATATAATGCATACCTTGCTACAAAAACTTTAATTTTATTATTGCTATAAGAAAGTTGTGGTCAGTAATTGTGATATCAAAGCGCGTAAGTCTTTATTCTTGCTGTTTTGTTCAAATGGTTCTATATAATCACATCTCCCACACAAAATCTACATGAAACTAAATTCAACATATCAAGGTATCATCTGACAAAACTCTTTACAGGATACAATATATATTATATTCATAAACTTTACACGGATCAATGCAAAATGCAATATTTTTTACAAGTGAAAAAGCAATCAAAACAATCCCAGAGAATCACACAGTTATGGACTCAATCGTTTAAACTATGATCATTGAATCTAAGTTGTAGTGCAATAAGCAAATATTTTTACTGTTACACATTTATTTTTACATGTTAAACAATGTTAAACATTTATAAATATTTTTACAAATATTTAACATTTTAATGTTAAATTTTACAACTCGCTTATCATGCTTCCTTAAATATTACAGAATAAATGTAAGTGTAATTCGTAATTTTCATTTTTGAATGACAATGATTGCATTAAAAGAAGCATTTTGTAAATCTTAGCGCTACCCTTGGACAGAATAATTGAACATATTCGTTGTAAATCTGAGCACGTTTTCTGAACACGACTTTGGAAATGAAAATTCATTTTTAAACAGTTCGATATTCAAGTATAGAATGGACATAGTTTGCTAAGTTGTTGAACCAGTTGGACTGACCCGTTGCATCAATGCAGCTATGAATGAACAGTTATCAACGCGAGTCGCTTGCGTCACTTCAACACTTTGTAATAAGTATTTGTGAGTCGGAAAAGAGGATTAAGTGAAAAAAGTTCGATTTGCTACGTAACATAATTAAAGTTTACGTTTGAATGAAATTCTTATGGATATGTAAACTCAACTTTTATTGAAACTTGAAACTTATTAAAGGTTGATGGTTGGTTGTAAAGTGTGGCCTTCCTCAATTAGAATTTATTGCACTACAGTACCCAAAGTGTGGATGTTCGTGAGTGAAAATGATGTATCTTACATGAAATGCGTTTACTTCTACTAAAGTGACTGGTTATAGAGATGATGTCTGACTTACACGGTCGACTGAAAATTTACTTTTCACAACAGGAATTAATTTTTCTCACAAAACCAAGAGCAATTTCATCGTTAAAATAATTTACCCAATGTAAAATATGGGAAATAAATTCAAATCTGAAAGCGGCTGTCGTGAGTATTTGCTCATTGCGTGACGTTTAAGTACTTAGGGGCATGGTAATCTTTCTCTTTAAAGAGACCCGACTATTCATTGGTGTTATAATCTGTCAACACCCTTAGCGTCGACAATTGCTCACAATGCCACACTCAACTACGCACGAGCTAAGCATATGTTTAATTCAGCATTGTTAAAACTGTCGCTTGACAGCCTTTTGCATATCTTTTCGCCGATCAAAGAAATTATTTACTTAAGCTGTTCTTCTTCGAAAACATGCATAATTACTATAGTGAAATTTAAGAAGAATTCAGTGGAAGATCAAAATAATGAAAACATTACTATTTTAAGATATACAGCAAGGAAAAATAGATCCGGTCATGATTCAATGACACTTAACTAACTCGTATTAAAACCACAAAATCTTTCCTTTATTTAGTTAAATTAATTACGACAAGAATAAGTTGGAATTTCTTGGCTAATTCTTCATTGTTTTTATTCGTCCAGCTCATGTATTTTTAGTTTGAGCTTGTATTTTATAGATGCTTGGTATTCGCTTTATCAATCGTCAAATGTTTGCGTGCTAATTTTCTAATTTAAATTTTTAGATTGATTTGTTAACTTTCACGTTAAAATACCTCAAATATTTTAGTGTGTCTTGTAAAGAGTTGAGCTTTCCAAATACTAGCTAGCAAACATTAAATGTTTTCACGATTATTACAACACAAGCGTTGAGGCATTTTATCAATTAGCAACAAAATCAATAATAAATAGTTAAACAAACATGAAAATAGTCATCTGAGTTATGGACTGCATCGCAGACTTAAATGTTTCAATAAATATTTTTTCTCTCAGATTGATCAGCTTATGCAACATTTTTGTGTTTTCCTCTCGTGTTATATTTTATGTCTTAATCCATGATTTACAGTTCAATAGCTAATCAGGAAAATACTGCTTGCATGCATAGTAACTTGGATCAATGTAATTTTATTGAGCAATAATTCACATTATTTAGCACAATTGTAACAAGCCCTTTATGAACAAATAGATTTTTAACGTATACTAATCACTTGATATTTTTGTGCTCCACATTTTAGGCAAAGTTTGTTGTGAAGCTAAAATAGCCTAAAATAGATTTGTCTTGGTTAACAGCCTGCAACATGGCAGCAGTAATCGGTCAGGCATTTTATTAGCTCAAACACGTGCGCGCATATCTGGCTCTCCTTCCAGAAGCAAAAAAAGCTCGTTTTTTACGCACACAATGCAAGTAGCTACTTTTGTATTCTATTGGAAAAACAATGAATGACTTAATTTTAAGTTATTTTTTCTCGTTTCTGTAAAACTGAACCAACCACTTCAAATATTTTAGTTCACATATGCATAGTGGCATTTCAAGTTTTCGATGCCTGGACATTGATTCTTTAAGGTCTATTCTTTGAAACGCTTTTAGAATTGAGAAATGAAATGTGATGAATATTTTGTTGGAAAATATTTCGATCATTTTCAATATGGCCTGTTAGCTACAATGCATATGCGCATTTAATATACACGACAAATTTTTTTAAAATAGACATGTTTCGACATCTCATGATGCCATCTTCAGTATAAGTGAAATAATAAATAATAGTAATATTATTAATAAAAGTAATATGATACATAAATTACAACAATTATAAGGAAATAAGATAAATTAATGGGGAGCGTCCAAGCGTATTATAAACTAAATATTGTATTGAATTTAGAAACTCGAACACTGAGGTCAGGGTTAGTTTTGTTAATGTCTTTAATTTTGTCTATTTTAAAAAAACTCGTCGTGTATATTAAATGCGCATGAGCAAAAGTGCTTCTACAAAATCATGGATACAATGCATATATTTTGCGAATTACAACTGCAATTTTAATAGAGTGTAAAAATTCAGTCAATGCAATTGAACTATACGAAGGAAACATTGAAATGCTTATATCGGTGACGTTCAGTTGAGGTAGCACAAACTACCGCCTGCATTTGTTCTCGAAGTAAGAAACTTTTACTTTTCTTTAGCGTTGATTTGTCATGGCGATGAGAGTACAGGAAATTGATTTTCAGTTATATTTCTCCCGCCCAGCCGGCAGTCATGCAATAAATATGAATGACACACGAAACACACATGGCTAACATCACGTGCTTTCAAGAGTCATGAAATAAAAAGAAATCAAATAGAAAAAAAGTTAATTGCATGATTGAATTAGTTCGGATGTTTGAAAAAATCAAACATTGATGCTTCTCCCCCCCACGCGCGCCAGACACTCTGAATTGCACGCACAAAAAGAAATTTTCTTGTTGTTTCGTTGTCTCAACAAACATACTTGTCATACGCTTTTCAAAATGCTATTATTGTAGCGCTTTGTGTCATGCACAATATTCGGCAGCACATATCAATGTCTGTACATATTTTTCAATCATTCAATGAAAGATAACGAGAGATTATCTCACAGGGGTCCAGCCCTTGTGAAAAAGACTTATATGTTTAAGATATTTCTCAAGTGCATTCGTCTACACAGGATATTAAAGTGAATTTTTTGACTTTCTGACGTTCTGTGTGCGTTTCATAAATGCAAAATATTTCATACGCAAATAAATGTTGCCATATCGCACATCAACAGCAAATAAAATTTATGCTCAATAACGATATCCCTTTTACATTTTGTATTTGACGATGTGTTTTTTTAAGATGTGCTTGAACCTTTATTACAATTTTGATGTTTATTTATCTTCAAATCGATCAGCCTAAGCAATGAAGCAATAAAACGGTATTTAACTTCTACGGCTTGAAATTTCAACCAATCATCTTTTAATTAAAATAACTAAAGCTTGTCGAGTGGCAAGTGCATTTCTAAGTAGCACTTTTTTTATGCAAAGTTGATTATCTTGATACGAATTCGAATGAAACTATTATGTGAAAAAAAACACTCATGGTATTCAACTTGTCTGATTCATGGACCGCCTAGCATATTTTTATTGGGATGAGCTACAGCCCAATGACCTAGAACCCAACGTAGCTACTAGATATCTGACAGCGTCGAAACTCTATAGTTAAAAGTGAGGCAAGTCGCTATCCTTGAAGGTGGAAAAACCGATAATATTTATGACTGATATCTGATTTTCCTGAGTTGATATTCATTTGCATATAGTTGATACTCTAGGTTTGGGTTTTGAAATGTTTGATAGGATTGGTTTTTGCTTATTGCTTCAAATCATTGCTATAGCCCCTTAGCTCTATCTCCTTCACTCTGAAGTGCCTGTATTTCAAGAAGAAACCTAACTAGTACGTTTTACTTTCAGGTTTGGTTTCAAAATAGACGAGCGAAATGGCGAAAACGGGAAAGATTTCCTCAGATTCCTGTTCGGCCACCATGTCTTCCAAACTCACCCCATTTGTACCGCGAATCCCTTCCTACACAAATTCTGCTCCACCACATTGGTCTTCCACTGCAGCAATGGCAAGACCTCCACCAAAGTCACCAATATCTCCTTACAGTCCCCAAATGTCCTCAGGTCTAATAGCAAACCGAGGAGTGATAAGATCGCCGACGTCAAATTCGCCCCAAAGTTACACGGGAGCAAACATGCACGGTAATCCTGTTGCGCATGTCATTACAATGTCCTCCCAAATGCCACAATATCTCCCGTCAAATCGCGGTGTAATATCGAGCCAAACAGGTCACCATCCAGGTATGGTTCACAACAATATTGCGGCCTCCATGTTGCCTCACGAAATGGCGGCAAACAAGAATATGCATTCACAACCTATAAACACATCTCAGCCTCTTTCTCACGGACCTGGTGGAACTATACTGAACGGAGGACATGCCGCAATGATGTCTGGCTCAATACACAATCATCCATTAGAAGGAAGCTCTGAAATGGACAGAAAGAGTCCCGGATCAAAAGCACTACGCCTTAAAGCAAAAGAGCATTCGCTTCCCATGGGAATGGTTAGAAACTTTCGTTGCTAATTATGTAAATCTATTTGCTATAATTGTGTAAATTGATTATAATTATAATAAAATTTAACGGAATTGATCGAGGTTGTTTAGTGGCAGGTGGATTTCTTTTTTAAATGTTTGATTTTATTTTGTTTTGCTGATGAAGCTTACTGACAATAAAATAAAAAAGCCTTTTAGCCTGGCCTATTGCAAGCAAAGATTACATCAAATGCCCATTTTCATCGCTCAAATAGGTTAAATTCTGGCTACGATGCAATAAATTTGCTTTTCATTGAAAAGCTGGAAAATCGTATATTTCATTTAGCTTGTCTAACTAACTGGAGAGAATTTGTTCCGCATGATCAATTTAGTTACACGCTATTTTTTCCATGTTTGTTGCAACTTAATCTTATGATCAATATGATCAATATGATCAATATGATCAATGCTATTTTTGTTTGTTGCAACTGTGATCAATCTCAGTCAACGTCTTTTTGCTTTTACAAAGCTTTTGCGTTGGAAATTTGAGAAGAAATACAGTGTATGCAGTACTTTGTTCTGGTTCTAATAATGCTTTACAAACCCAATGAAATCCAAGGGGCGCAGAACTGTCAAGTCCAGCATTAAACTGTTGGGAATAAACAATTAATTATGTCGTTTCCGGTTTTTTTTGGGACAGTCTGTACACCATGGAGACAGCCCAGTATGTATGGTGATTGATGACTTTCGTAAGCGGCATCGTTATTTTTCCAGCTTGATTGACCCCATTAAGTTTTTTAAAACAACTCTTGAAACAAAATTTTTGATAAAACGTAGCAAAATGGAATCATCATCATCATAATCAAGTTTTTTCAAGTTTTTTAATTGTAATGCGCATGCTCAAATTTTATGACATCGTGAACTGAAATGCGCGAGCTTAAATACGGAAATGAAGTTCTAGATTTAAAATGTGACAGAAACAGCATAAAATGAGTGTTTCAAAGTATGCTAGTCATGCAAAAAATGCCGTTCGTTCAAGGGCATCATCATCAAAAAACAAAAATTTGAATTCTAGAAAAGGCGATACCAGATTTGAACATCTCAATGGTCAAACGTTTGAAATCCCAATATCCTTTGTTTTGAGTGAAGTCAGCAATATCTTTACGCAAGCAAAGCTTGATAAACAAACAGATCTTGTCGAGAAATCTTGTAAAATTGAGGATTTTTGCAAGGATATCTTGAAAAGAAGTAAGAGCTTGTCGCAGAATGAAACTGTAAGTCATGTTAACGCTATAGTTTGATTACGCGTGCAGTATGAGGACTATCTTGGGAAATTTCTATAAAGTATAAAAGAGGACGCAATTGCAATATAATGTGAATAAATAACTGAAGTCGTTAGTGTCGTAGGCAGCCGGTTTATTTCGTAAATACTTTTGACTTCACATCACAATACTGAAACATTTGCATCGGCTGGTGCTAATAGTTCGTTTTTTGAAATTGTTCAAGACATTTTTTTCGTGTATCTTTTTTCCAACTGTTAATCTACGTAATTATATAATTTTAACCTTGACCTGCCTTGAAAGAATCGCAAGTTGCTGATTCAATTTTACGTGGTGATGTAAATTCTGAAAAATAGCTACATGCCAGATTCCACAAAATTGAAAATTGCAATATAGCTATACTTAAAGCAAAAGTAGTTTCGTAAAACAGAAAACTGAATGTAACGATTATTTGACAAAGTTCGGGGAAACGTTATTTGCTAAATATTTTTTAAGGTACATTTTTATCGACGTAGTTTTTTAAATTTGTTCTTGCTTTCTTCCGGAAATGTTGCACAAAAAATGAGATGCTGTTTTTGTGGAAAGAATAGAGACATTCGCATTTCTTAGAAAACTTTTCACGTGACGTCATTACGATGGAGGAGAGCAGTATTGCACCAAAATTCATACTAAACACATGAGTAGCACAATGGTGGCCAGACAATTGTATTTTCTGACCAATTGGAACGCTGATCAGCAACAAGTTGAACAGGCGTATTGGGACTATTGTTTATTTATTACATTCTGATCACACTAAGAGGCCATTTTACCACTATTTCAAATGCCAATTCCAGCCCCACAAGTAAACAGCCCCAAAACATTGTACTTGATAAAAATTTGATTTTTCAGTCTTCAAAAAGTGAATCACTATGGCTAAACTCCAATAAAAGAACAGAAACTTGCTCATCTTGTCGCGAAGAACATATGAAAAAGGAGCTAAAACAAGGTGATTGAAAGGGTGATTGATGAACAATATATGACATGACTCTGTACAATATTGATTTCTAAAACATTTAAATACACCGTTAAACAAGAGCAGAAATTCAAAATTTAGCAACATAAAACGAAAATCAAACAATTTGTTATGATTTTAGAGAGTAAAACGTATCAAAGACGAGCTTCAACAGCCAAACGTCGACCAATCTCAACTTCCAACATACGAGCGTGGTTTACGAGCAAGGACACTGTATCTGCAATTTTGTCCTCTCAGACTCTTGCGAATGAGTTTACAAATCTTCCCAAAGAAAATTCAAGCATTATAAGAAAGTGCAACACAAAAGTATCTTGGAAAGAAAAAGTGCCCAAGTTTACAGCCTTACCAGATAAATATCAGAGAGTATGCCAAACTAGATCTGTCAATGAACGAACGGAGTTCACAACTTTGTTCAAAAAGGGTGCGATGAAAGCATAATAAAAATTTTTGTAGCCAAAAATTAACGTAATTTAGATTTTGTTAGGGATGGTGATTTCGCACTTTGACAAGAACAGCCTTAATTCTCATTTTGTTCTTTTCGATCTCATTTGGAATTTTCCTTATAACATCGTCTTTCCTCGCGCAAATCAAACACAAAATGTCATTCTTAACAAATTATGCTCTGTAGTTCGATCTGAATTTGGAAGAATGATACTAGCATTCCATTGCAAATACTTTATATTGATTGGCTACTCTACTAGCTATCTGTTTTCAATAGGAGTGATGGGCGATACCGCTTGTATCGATTTGATACGATACCGCTTACTTTTTCTTAAAAGTATCGAGGTATCGATTACTAAAGCGATTACTTTCTCCAATTTCGAAAATAAACGTCTGAGTCACTTGAGAAAGATCTGATAATGGAATTGCTAAAGTGTGGCCTTATATACTTCAAAAATACGACGAAATTTTTATTTTTCTTGTCTTAAATTACACTGTCATTTTTATCGTTACATTATTAGGAGTAACGATAAATTTTCAGAAGCTGTATAAATGCGAATTGAAAAAATTGGTTGCATATTATTCTGAAGGCGAGATCTCGAAGTGTATTGATTAGTAAAAGTGAATAAAATATTAAAATAATAAAACAGAAAAACCCAACATGTTTGTCAAAACCAATAATGAAAAGGAAGACAAACTTACATAATAGTGAAATTTTAAAAGTAATCGAAGTCCTTTTTCGATACAACGCAGTATCGACTACTTCCGGATTAGGCTCGGTATCGGGCGGTATCGATACCAAGTAATCGGTAATCGCCCATCATTATTTAATAGATAGCAAGAAGCGAAAAAAACATGGCTGCCTACCTTGCCGTTGTTTTACGTTTTAATCATGTTTCTGACGATAAACTTGCTTGTTTACTTCATAAAACAATTCCAGAGAAGACTTAAGTTGTCACTAAGCACATATTCACAGGTAAAATAAAAATTCACACAGAAATGCAAGAAATTAAAGAAAACTACAACAACTCTTTCTTACGGGCTTCTCCTCATCAAATATACCCGTCATAGAAATCTCATAGAAATCAATTACAAAGTATTGAGCCAGTTATATAATTGCACAGAACTAATGTAACACCTAGAAGGACTCTCAAGGCACTTCAGCCAGACTTATATCCTCTAACTCGTGAAACTCGCTCTCCATGTAGTATGTACGCATTGCCGGCTAAATAAGCTGTCATTCATACTGCGCATCAGTAACTATTCCTAATATTTAAGACTTTCGTCAGTTTACTATGTCCATGCCCTGATGGTCATCTATATTTATCAAAACATAGAGCGTATTTTCTAGTTTCAACAATGGTTTCAACAGCTTGTACTGTTTCCTATCTCTGGGACCGTCAACATTGATAGAGTAGAAGCATTTCTTCATCGACAAACAGATTAGCAAAAAACTAGAATAGCAGAAAAAAATTTTCAAACTACAGATTAACAAGCCAGGAACATCAATTCTAGGAAAATAGACAAACTTTGAACCCCTGCGTATTTTACAAAATATACAATTGCACAAAACAAAGACACGAATAAGCGATTGTGAGCGAAATTGAGAGAACTCGAAGACCTCTTCACAATATTTTTTGGCTTATAACTATTAGCTACTATTTGCTTTGAAAATGTTCGCAATACATATTAAAATCTTTTTGCGGATATTATGCGCAATACTTGATATTTTAAAACGCAATTGAATCATGTCAACTCTCACAATATACATGACGGTTTATCGAATCTAAAATTGAATGTAATTATTACTAAATATAAAATACTTCTCTATAAATAATGTGAGATAATTAGTTGTTACTCGCG